TGAGGATAGGGAAAAATGCAGATAATCACTTGTTTGGTTTTAGAAAGTCCTGGGTGGCTTGAACCATTCATTCTTCTATGGAAGTACTGCTGTTTGATACTGCTGAGATTTTGTGGCCGATGCTCTCAGCGGAAGGTTCTTTTTTTCAGAATATCATTCTCCAGCTCATTGGCTATCTAGATCTTGAATTAGTTAACTCTGAACAAGAATATTTTATCTGTATATTTTTGTTTAGTTTTGTCTCTATTTTACCAGCTGCTGCATCTTTGAAGAGAGATTTCCTGTGCCCTTCTTCAAATGCCTGTGATATTTCCAAGAGGAACCATTTTTCTGTAAGTGGAGGTCTTTTCTATGAACATAAAACTCATATTATGAATTAGTTGAATGCATTAATAGGAATGTGGGTGTGCAGAGAAGTCTGAACAGTTTAAAAACTGGATGGTTTTAGTATATAACATGGTTTTCATGATTCGTAATTGAGAATAATGATCAGTGCTCAGGGGAAGTTCCTTTTTTTTCTTTTCTTTTTGGCTTTGGTCATTTGAAATGAATAGTAATCTTCCGTTACAAGCTTAGACAGTGATAATAAAAGCAGTACTCATCTCTGTCAACATTTGTGAAAAACAAGTATCTGGAGATTTCTGAATGTTTTAATGAATGATGAGAATAGTAAATCTGTCCTGTGTAGTGTCTGGGTGAGCTGTTTTATATCAAAATATTAGTAATTGATTTTTATACTTTACAGCTGTGTTTTGGGAATAAGTACTGGAATGAAAGCCAAAAGCTCCATTCTGGATTACAAGAACCATATTGGAGAAGAGTTAAGGGATTGATGTATTTTTCTGGTTTAGAAATTTTGAGCAGGAGGAAAAGGGAGGGACTTGAGCTGCCTACTTAACTTGGTTTGCCAGCAGTCTCAAATTAGTTAGATCATCACAGGAGTATGGCTAACCAGATTTGTGCAAATATTTAGGTGTATGAAGATGAAGGTGGGCACCCAGTGAGATCTTCATTTGCACTTAGATCCATTATTAGCATTGAATTGTGGAAGTCGGGGTTTACTGGGATTGCTGAAGAACTGTGTTTTTGTTGCTTTAGATATGAATACTGTGAAGGCCAGTCTTCAAAGCTGCTCTCGTCTAGAAATATTGATTTTTACACTCTGGATGCATTGTATATGTTAATCAGTTCCTTAAACATTGTGTTTTGTCTTCACTTTGTTCTGACACTCATAGTGTAAGGTCAGCAGTAGTCAGCAGCTACTGTGGTATGTGGTACAGTATGGATAAAGGACTATACATGCTTATAACAAAGCTTGCTTCAGCTTGAGTAAGAGGAATTGTGAGAGTTTTCTCTTCTCCCCAATTTAGAAACATACATTTTCAGGGATATAAACAGCTTCACAAATAGCAATGCAATAGGAATTTGTGGGGTCAGTTGAGCCTTAGATGTATTTTGCCCTCACAAGGAGGCATTCCTTTGAGTGTTGTAATACGGGCTAATTCAAGTCTAGTTGAGCCACGAGTTTTCTATATACATGTGCTATATTTTGCTTTTTCTCCTCTAACTTGGAAGGCATATACAAGTTCCTAAAATCTTTAGGATATAGTAAAGTTTATTGAAAATGTCTGTAGACTTAAATTATGGCTGGTGGGTTTGCATTACAGGTAAGCAGTACCCTGAAAGATTGAAGTATTGTATCTGCTCATCCTCTCTTTTCTGTTCCTCTCCCTAGTTCTCACACTTACCATAAGTTGATCTGCTGCATTATCTCAGCAAAAAGAGACTGATTCAGTTTTTGTTACTGGGTTAGTTTTCTACTGGTTTGGAAGCTGAATGTGTCTGTAATGCGAGGAGATGACTGTAGGCCCAAAACAGAGAAGGGAGGAATGGAGGAGATGGGAGGATTCAGTCTTCCCGTTCCTGGCAGCGGCAGGCTGTCAACTGGGCTGAAGCTGTAATGTTAAACGGCAGCCCCGGGCTCAGCGTGGGCCCCCAGCTCAGTCCCTGCGGGCCTCGTAGATGTCGATATCTGTTTTGTCCCGGACAAAGATTGGATAGATCAAAGGGGTGGCATTTAGACAGCATGAGACTATAGACACATACAATCGACATTGTTTTGTAGTGCGGAAAAAATATGGAAGTCTAGGAGAATACAGCTGCATATTTTCCCACTGTAAAGTAATTCTCAGAAATCCTGTGCTGCAGCACATTTTAGGAGTCTGTTCAGATGAAACATTGAATTCTCTGGTATCATGGCTATTAAAAGTTAAGACTGTGCATAATACCATAATTATTTCCTTTTGTGTGCGTGTGTTGTGGTGTAGGTATCTCATGTTTCCCCAGCTGCTATGTATTCATGGAAGAGTCTTCCCATTAGGACCCTGTTGTGGTCTCTTGAAAATAATACAGTGTTTATCTGATAAAACAGCAATTTCTTTATGATAGGATGGGCCTACTGAGGACATGCAGCACGCAGTGGAGAAGTGTTTTCCCCTCTCTCCTCTTCAGCCCTTAGTTTTGTCCTTTCTGGAAGCCAGAAAAACGATGCTAAGCCAAGGGGAGCAGGAGACAAGTAGGACCAAAGTTTGGAAGGGGGGAGTTGGGTTAGACAGAACCAGAGCTGCTTCAGCTGGAGTTAAAGGGATTGGGGTGGGAGAGAGAAAAGGGGTGCAGAAGGCTGTTTGGCTTCTTAAATTGAGGGGGACTGGGTGGCTGGGGGTTGCAAAGGTTCGGGGCAAGCCAGAAACAGCCCTGCTTCCCCATCCTCTATGGTGTGAGAGGGAATACAGGTCAGAATGTGAAGGTCTTGGGAACTGTGGTGGTAATGGATTGATGTTGTGCTGCTTCTTACTTGGATTGAAACATCTGTGGTTGTGTACTCTATTTTTGTTCCTACCTTTCACTGGCAACTCTACCCAAATGTGTTTTTGTATGTGTGCTAATGTTTTGAAAAGAATTGTGTGAATGAGTTTTTCTTTAACTAAATGAATAGTGGCTGTTCTTATACTAAGTTTCATGTAGAAAAAGAACGGAAGAGTGTTTGTTTGTCTTGTATTCATCTGTTAATAGGAAGCATTTTCATCTACTATGATGTAAATAAAAATAATTAAACTGAACAGTTTGTGCAGCATGCATAGCTGAAAACTGCATCCAAGTGGCCTAGAGAATAGTTAAGGAATAGGACTCGCCTCTCTCAAAATCAGAATCAGTTTGCAGACTAATCAAACCAGGAAAAAAAAAAAAAGGACTATCTGTACTAGCTATCCTTTGAGAGGGAGCTGGCCCATGGTTATGCAAGCAAGTGTTTGAATTTAGTAGTCATAGTAGCAGTACCATAAAAATGCCAGTTGTGACCTCTATTGCTTTCTACAGAATTCAAATTTTAAAATTCTCATTAGGCTTTTTGGTATACAGAATGAATGACAAATACAGATGGCTTACTGCATAAATCTTTCAATGGTAAAATCAGCAAATAATAGCGAGATTATTGAAGCCTCCAACACAGAAAACGTTGACCTTTTGTCCCATCTAAAGAAACCCCACCCCATGCCACTAGTGACAAAAAAATTGAAACCTTAGTTATTGACTTAATTGCTCATATTTTATATAAAAGGATTTCACAGTATTTCAAGTGATCTGGTTTTCAGATGTAAAAGTATGGGGAATAATTTATGTGAAGGAACTTGAACTAGGAGAGTATTTGACAAAAGGTTTGATTTCAGTGCATCCAAAAAAAATGCAGATCTTCCTTTTTCTTCCACCTGCTTTATGTAAACACTGTGTACCAAAACTATTTTGGTTTCACGAGTGTAATTCTTACCTGCAATTTCATCCAATAATCCAGTGTTACTTTTAGTTTTTAAAAAATGCACTAAACTTATTTTTAAAAATTTGGACATATGAACTTGAAGACATCAAAAGAGTATGCCAGTGATTGGGGAAACAGCCACAAACAGTGCAAAGTACAGAATAACAGGAGAATGGCTAAGAACCTGTGCTGTTGCATTTCAGTTTAAAATAACTGGAGACATAAGGAAATAAGCAAATTATTTGATGGGTTAGCAATGAGCTTAGCTGGAGCAACTTGAAGAGAAGCAAGGGCAGTCAACAGCTTATCAATTTGATGGATTACACCCCAAAGTTTACTTAAAAAGAAATCATTAAAGAAAATCTATTGCTTTCATGTGGTTTATCAGTTGTTTGTTCTTAGGTTGTGGTGTGTGAACCAGCAGTGGAATTTAGAGCCTGTCCATCATCTGTAGACCAAAGTATTTTTGATAACCATGCAATTGACCAATAGGATAGGAATAATTCAATATGTCCTACAAAATGCTGAACAAAATAATCAGAAAGAAGGAAAATAGAAAACCTGAGGGTCAACTTGGAAGCATCTGATAGTCGTCTTGGTGGTCCCCAGGCTAGGTAGGACGATAGTTGATCTCTCTGACTTGTCATCAGTGGGGCTGCCGCCATTTAACTTCAGTCATCAACCTCCTTCCTTGTTTATATTTTTGCATCATATTGTGTAGAGCTCGTGTTGTGTGTGCTCGTGGTGCTGTGGTTGCAGAAGGTGCGGAGGGTTGTTAATGTTCCCCTCCCACCCCAACAGCATCTGTCTCCATGATGCTTTTCAGAGCTCTGCCCTTAAACGTGTGTGTCTGATTAATGAGGCCAAGGGTGTTGCATCAGGGCTTCATGGAAAAATTGTCTTGAAAGAAGGCAGGTAGTTTTTCATGAGCTGGTGCTAACTACCTGTTTCCTCCCAGAATTTTCCTGGGGAAGAGAGACCTCACCACGTGAAGTTTATGGCAGTAAAACAGTTTTTCAGAAATCGAGTGGCTGAGTGAAGAGCACTTTAGGAGCTCTTAAGAGTCCTGAGAAGACTCTTCCTTTTGCTCATGTACGCACTAATGGAAACTGCCTTGTGTATGAAGATACAGGAGAGGTTTTTTAAATGTTAATATGAATCATGGATATTGGTAATTCTGCTTTCCAGCTAGTGTTAGCTGAGACATCAAATATATGTTAAGGATACTTAAAATTGCTGTGTGTTCAAGAATATAGAAACAAACATATTCCAATGGGATGTATTCATAGGTGTAGTAATTAGAAGGTTTTTCTGTAACAAATAATGTACAAACACCCATCTGAAACAACAGCCGGTGCAAATCACTACTGTAAAGTTCATTTTGATAAGATTTTTTCCCAATCTGCCTCCTATTAAGGTCTGAACTTTTCAGAAACTATGGAGTGGATCTGCTTTACCTGTCAGTAAAGTTTCAGTGCTTACAGCTGTGTTTAATATTTACAGACGTTGGGCATGATAGCT